CCCTGCACGCCCCCAACGCCCGTCCCTCGCACGGCCCCGCAGCCTCGGTTACACAGGACCCCGCCTCGCGTCCCGGCCCGAGCTGTCCGGCGTCAGCAAGCGGCAGGTGGTGGAGGCGCAGGGCGGGGTGGTCTTCGATGATGCTGATCTTCGCATGGCGGCGTTCGACGCTATGGAGGTCACCGTCACCCGGCTCTACGGGCCAGGTGACGCCGGCGCAGGGGTCGAGGCGGTGGCCGGCGAGGACGGCGGCGGCGCGGGCTGGTGGGGCGGCGAGGCGCCGCAGCTGCAGTCGTTCAACGACCTGCGGGCGCTCGGCGTCCAGGGCGGCCTGCTGCGGCGCATGAAAAAGGCCCGCCTCAACCGGCCGACGCCGATCCAAAGGTGCGGCTGGGGGTGGCGCGTTGCCGCCTGTGGGGCCACGCGCGGAACAGCGCCGCAAGAGTCGTGATGTCATATTATTCTGAAGTTGAACATTTGTGAGGGATGGCGCCCGTTGTCAGCAGCAGCTGCATCAGCAGCACCACCAGCAGCAGCATTCGCAGCCCTCAAGCTCCCGCTTGCGCCCCCGACACCACACCACACCATCCCCTCCCCCAACCTCACTCCCTGCGTCCCCGCAGCGCCGCCATCCCAGTCCTGCAGTCCGGCCGCGACCTGCTGCTCGCGTCGCCGCCCGGCAGCGGCGCCACGGCCGCCTACCTCATCCCGCTCGTGCAGGCCCTGCTGCGCGTCCAGCGGCGCCGCACGCGCAACCGCGCGTTCCCGACCGCCCTCGTGCTGGCGCCAAGCAGGGAGCTCGCGCAGCAGGTGGGGCTGCTGCGGTGCGCGGCGGGCGCGCACGCGCGCAGCTGCGTGGGAGCCGCCGTGTGGCGTTGAAGAGGCTGGTGGTAGGGGGCATTTCCTGGGAGGGGCTGCCCGCGCTGGAAAACAGGAGCTCGCCTCCACAGCCTCGATTGTTGTCTCTTCTAGACCACCCGAAGCAGCGCTGCGTAGCCCTCGGCCCTTCGCACTGCCCCACGAC